ACTACTTCAGGCCACAGGTATGTTTTGGTTTATAGAACAGTGTAAAAGGTAGGAGGCTGAAATCTGGGACTCTTTGGACTCAGGTTGTTGCGATGATGTCCTAGAAGGACTACTTTTGTGTAAATTACAGTGCAGATGTGAGCAAAGGCAATGCCCGGTGTGCAGGAAGAAGATTAAGTTTGCAAACTGAATGAGAGGTGTGGCTGCGTAACGTTTAAAGCACCAATTTAACTAGTTCACTTTCCAAGGAGTCCTTCAGGGAGCTGTCCGTGGTGCTGATAGCTGGAATTCCATCCCATCTCTACTTTTGCATGGCTAGCTTGCTTCTGCATGACCACCTATAACAGAGATCTCCCAATATCAACCTGAGAAACTTCCAGTATCATTTGAGAAACGTCATTTGTGAATCAGCCGTTTGAGTCACACCGAGTCATTGGGTCCCCATCATGACCTAGTTCTGATCAAAAGGAGGGAGAGCTTTGCCTCGCACCAAGTTTATATTACATAGAAGCCTCCTAAATAAATAAATAGATAAATAAATATTCTTTTCGGCACAAGGCTAAAACCTTTTTATTTAATTAATAAATAAACCAATTTAAAAACTGATTTTATTGTTTAACAGTCACTTTTAACTTACTTAACTTATATTTTTTGGGTATTGTTATTTCTTATATTAAGACAGTTGTTTTATTGTAGTTTGTTTTAATGATTGCAAGCTGTCCTGAGATGCCATTCATAAGGGATGGCATATAAAAAGTTAAATGAATACATAAATAGCAGCAGAATGATTGAGATCACAAAGATAGAGACTTGAAGGCATCCTCAAGATTCCAGAATAAGTGCGGAACATACGGCTTCCAGGTGCAGCTTGTCAAATGAATTCTCCATCCTTAGAAGCTGTATAGATCCATGCACAGAGCGGCAGTGCTCCGTCTTAGGGTTTCCTAAAGGCATGTGGTTAACCACTTTGGAAACAAGACTAGCCTAGAGGGACGTGGAGCAGGTTGCTAGGGCTTTCTCCCAGCATAGGAGCATCAGAATTTCCCTCAAATACCACCATTTAATTCCTTTCTGCTCCCTCTCTAACTGGCCTCAGCACCTTATTCCCCATGACAATTCAGCAGGAGGTGGCCATGAGAATAAATTGCTTCCTCAGAGGGAGATGTGGGGCTCAGCTTGTACTGAGAAGTGCCAGAAAACAGCTTTTGTTTCACATGTTTTGCACAATATTGTGCAGAGCAGTAGTTTGAGGTATTCAAGGGCTTCAATCAACTCCAGCCTTCACTGAGCATCCTATGTGGAACAAAAGCACATTTTCCATTTTGAGAAATAAAATGCAGCCCAATTGTTGGTCATAAATTATCTGTCACAAAAGTTGGGCAGTGACTGTATTAATAGGCTTCCATCCACAGAGCTGGATTTCTTATTGCTATTTATTGAATAAGCTTGTAATCTGTCTCCTGGAGACCAGAAGGGTAATTCATGAATGACCAACTCTGTGAAAGTCCACACAATATATTAAGACAGATAGAGGCTAATTCCATTAGTTAATCTGTGACTACTTTCCCTATTTGTTTCAGTTGCCAAACAAAGACACTGAAGCATTTCTGGATGCTTATAATAATTCGGAGCAATTGAAAGGAGACAGCTTTCAATTTTCCTATATTCAAATCTGAGAACCACCATTCAAAAAAGAGGTGAGGGCATAGAACTAGTGAAGACCCTTTCTTGAGAAGTGAGGCATGTCACGCCAGTCAGATAGTTCCAGGTTGGATGGTACAATAATATAAATTGTTCATATCTTAATTTAGCCAAGCCCTCCTTGGGACAGGTGTGACTATTAACTTTGGCTGCATAATCAAAGTTCACCTTTTTCTGCCCTCTTCCATTCCATGTGAACCTGTTTTCCTTGCTCCTGTGCAGAAATCAGTATATACTTTTCAAATGTCTATCGACACGCACCCACTTGCTAAGAAAAGATGAGGCATTAATTTGGCCATTAGGCTGAAAAAGACTCCCCATCCCAGATTAAAGTATTTGCATTCATTTATTAATGCATGCATTTCTCAATGCTTTTTTTTCAGACGTATGAGCACTGTCAATCACTGTTTGTTTGGTAAAACACAATGCAACCTTGGAAAGGTACATATTTCTGAATGCAGATAACTCTTCAGTTTGCAATTGTCTCCAGGAGGTGTGAGTCTGATAATCTTGCATTAAAATGCAAACCGAACACATTTCTCAGCCACTCCTAGTCGGCAAGAATAGCATTATGATACTCTAATATTAACCATAGAACTACTTCATGGTAAGACCAGTGCTCCTGAAATGTGGAGAATACAAAGCACTCTTTTCATTATGCTTTCAAGATATCACTGAGATAATTCCCTTACAGCAATAAAGAGGGGGGCGGTTGCTTAAGATGCTGGCATCTGGTTGCACTCCTAGTGCTGACTTCAGATGAAAGAAAGGGGTGAAATCTCGCCATTACCTAACCAAGCTTTATGAAGTTTCCTAACCCAAACAGTCAATAAAACCCCCTTACTGTAATCCAAGGGTTGGTGGGGGTGGGGGTGGCTTCCCTTCCTTAGTCTTCCAGGTCATTTGTCATAAATAATCCCTTCTGGGTAAATTAAGAATAAAGTTGATGGGAGCTCTCCCATGTCTGCTGCAAGCTCTACTCAAGTAGAAGTGATACTGATGAGCTGACTTCACCATCAGTGCAATGTTTGCTTAGGTCCTGGAGAGATGTGAGAGGACTCCACTATATTTAAGCTGCAAATTTTCGCTAGTCTTACTGACAGTATTTTTCCTTATCCCCATTATCATTCATATCACTCAGGCAAAGCCAGGACCACCAAGTTCCCCTGCAACCCTGGCAGAAGGAGAAAAGCTACTCAGAAAGCTTTCCCCTCATGCATACCATGAGGGTTAATGGCTATATGCCCCATACTGGAAGGGCAGCAAATCACACATCGGCTGGTTGGAAAAGTTGTGCCCCAGGAAGTTCTACACAGCAAGTGTAATTTGAATGACTCAGGCTTGTCTCTCTCACGTCTGTTGAGTTGAACTAGCTGACCCACTTATCATTCCAGTTTTGCAGAACACTCAAGTTCCACAGCACTGAGAACTTAGAAAATATTTATACCTTTCCATAGAGAATCAGCTCCTCTCATTTTTCATCAGCATTTGTGCTTTTGAAATAATTCATAAGGACTGAGAGAAGGAAAGGAAATTTTAGAAACAGAAAGATTCTAAGGCTGGAGATATTTTCAAGAGACTCAGATATGTTCGTGTATCAAGCGAAAGAAAGGGGAAAGAGAGAACTCCAGCTGCTTGCTTGACTTCACAATGCATCTTCATTGATTCCAGTTCATTGTTTTTCCATAGACTGACTAATCAAGTTGAGCATTCTTTTCTGCAGAACTTCTTAAATGCAGTTTGCTCAACATGACTCTGGCTCGCTTGCTGAGTGCCAAAATTACATAAAGGGTCACACAGAAAGAATTGCAGTCCATTAAAATAGACATTTGCATCTCATTTCTGGCACATCCACCATGGTGCGTTTTTTTAAATCTAATTTTCAAGGCCTAAGGGGTGCATTTTAAAAGGAATAAATGTGTGTGATGCTACTTTCAGGGGCTCGGCCATTAGCAAGTTGGCAAGGAGCAGGGCTTCCACTGACAGTGATTGACATGCAGGCCCATGCAAAAGGAGGCAGTCCCACAGAGAATCGGGGTGCTTTAGTGATGACTCTTTAGGAGGACAGATACTGCAGCTGAGCTCAAATGATGAATGGAGGACTTGCTGGAGACGACCCTGATGCTGGGAACGATGGAAGGCAAAAGGGGAAGGGGATGGCAGAGGCTCCGGTGGCTGGATGGGGTCACTGGGGAGGTGGGTGTGGGTTTGGGTGGACTCCAGGGGATGGTGGAGGACAGGAAAGTCACAAGACTTTGCAACTGAACAACACCGCCGGTGAAGAACATGGTTTGGGGATAGCTCTGTCAGACTCCTTGGGCTTGGCTTTGCCCACTTTCTGGAAGTTGGCAGTCCAACTTCTGGCTAAGTGTCAGGGCATTTGCATGGTACTTGCTAGGGATCCAGTCCCACAGGAATGCTGCATGCCCCTTCTGTGGCACATGGGACTTAGTCTTTGCTTGTGCTACAGAAGAAGGTTGGCGGTAGAACAACCAGACTTCCTAGGTGAGTGCCAAGCACTGGAAGGAGTCTAATGGACAGAAGAGCAATGGGTGGGGTACGGGGTCATTGCAACTCTATTCATAAGAAAACACACCTGGAATGAGGCTCAGAAATTAACAGGAAGGCACTGCAGGTGAAACATGGTTAGTGCTGCATAATCTGATTCATGTCCTGCCAATACATCCTTCCAGTCATGGCCTTACGCTTCTACTTCCTTCTGTTTCTTCTCACATTCCCACCAGTTTTATTTGTCCGATCCCACAACTGCAGGAAGTGCAGTTGCGATAACATAGAAGGGATGGGCCACCTGCAAGTCCCATCAGCCTTAGACAACAAAGCTAATGGTGTGGGATCAGGGGAGATGCCATGCCAGGACATCTAGCGATCCATCCTTCTGCACTGGCTGCAACAGATGCTCATCTCAGACAACTGGCCCTCTCCGTGATAAGAGTGGCAATAATGCAAACCACCAAGAGAGCCCTAAAGGGCTATGGGAGGGATTTATCAGTACAAGCATGAATAGATGGATAGACAGACAGATAGATAGGAGCCTGGCTTGGAAAACAGCAAATAGAAGGTACAAACAATGAATTTTGACTTGGGTCAACTTCATATATTATATAACTCAATGCAAGATCTTAACACTGAAGCCAAGTTCTCTCTCTCTCTCTCTCTCTTTCACACACAAACTCACACACACAGTGCAACAGACATCAGTTGTCTTGTTCCTAAGTTCAGTAAAGACAAAGCTGAGGAAGGCAAGGTAAGGACAGATACTATGTTCTATGAAAACTCACGTGGTATGTGGCAATTGCTTCTCTGTCAAGAGGTCGCGTCACAAGAACTTCGCCAGTGCCCTCAACAATTTTAAAGACTCCCTTTGGCTCCTGTTCCACTCCTTTCCCAGAAATTCGGAATTTCGAGCCTTCTGGTCTGTCATTGTCTATAACCTGTGTGAAGCAAACACAAGTGTGAAGATCCAAGTCAACAGAGAAACAAAAACAGTAAGAAGAATATCTGTAAGGCATATCCATACTGTGGTTTAATCAGGTAAAGACCCATTTTTTGCTTTCCAGAGGAATTTGGGAATTGGGAGTTGAAGACTAGAGTTCACTGCCAGAGAGTTCTTAGCACCACACTAAACTAGCGTTCCCAGGATTCTTTGATGTATGTTTAAGTGATGCAGGCATTTTTCCCTCTACTAATAAATGGTAGAAATTTATTAGTTTTAATTCCTGCTGCAATGAAGCCACTCACAAGAATTTCAGACCACTCCATGAAACACCAGAACTTGCCCCATTCACAACCCCAAATGTGAACACGTTTTTTTTCAGGCTTACGAATTTCCTGAGCTTATGTTGTCTTTGATAAATGTGTTTGTGAGAGACAGGTAACTTTAAAAATGCACATTTTGGAAAGAAGAAAGAACAAATGAACGAATGAAAATGCAAGCTCATGCTTTAGTGAATAGAGGTAAATTATACATTTGTGACATGGTTTTGGAAAAAAAAAACACCTACATGTACACTTTTCCTATTCAGACAACAATGAAAAGGCTTGTATTTTGGAACAGAACTGAAGCAAGTTGAGCTTTGAGGTTGACATAAGAGAACCTAAATGAGTTCAAGGCTTGTTGATTCTCTTATCCTTATGTAAAGTTGCATGTGCTTATAAATTTAGTTATCCAGGCTTAGGTAAGGTCAGAGAATAAATAAGAATAAGGTCTAGGAGTTCAACCCCACATTCTACAAAGCCTTCCCCACACCCAAGACAGTTTAATTCTCAGACATTGACGAATCCCCAGTAACAGCCACCAGCTCCATCTCTCCATCCTTGCTCAGTCCCACAAACGTCCAGCAGGGAAGTGCAGTGAGGTCCTTACTGAAACATGATAACTATCCCTGCTTTGGCTCCATTTCTCTCTTTCCTGATAGTTCTCCAGATCTAGATATTCTGACTCCACATGGTGCCATAAGCACCAGCATTTCCCCACATTTGCTTTCCCAAGCTGTGCTTTGCCATGTCCCTAACGTAACAGCAGGGGGTCTGACGCAATGGCCTCCATGGCCCCTTCCAACACTGCTTTCCAGAGTCACCTGCCTCCTCTTTGACCCCATTAATCTCACATTCCCAATCTGAACTGGCTGCCTGGAAAATGGGGCCCTGCCTTGGGAGGCTGCTTGAGCTTTCTGTTTTCCCATTTGCAAAGAGAAAGCACTGATGGCAAATGGGAACGAGACCTGGACATGCGGCAAGTTTGGGAAATCCTATAGATTTCCAACGTCACTTGGACACACTTCCCTGTTCTCATTCCTCTTGCTGATAGCATAAGAAAACACTGCAGTTTGGAGAAGTTTAGCCTGCCCCCTGCCCCCCATGACTAAGGTGAAAAAATGCGTAGTGTGAGAAATGAGGATTATACTTGTAAAACCCACACTTATCTATTGATGCATTCTGCAAATGCAAGGCCAGGGTTACCTGAGCGAAGCCTGGGAGAAAAGTATTCAGTCTGGGAGTGAGAAAGGGAAAATTCTGATGCTTAATGAACTGGAACAAAATTCTCTTGCTTCCCTGCTCACATTCAGAGCGACAGGTGCACATGGAGGGATTCTCTACAGCAAATGGTGAGAGCTAGCAGCATATTATGTCTATCCAAGTTTGGATGCGAGCTTTCTACCTGCTTTTGAATGTCACGAATGAGGGTGCTGATAATTAGAGGCCTTAAAACTGATATTTCATTCACTGCTTAATTAGCCACAAGAGGGAGCTACTCGTTCCCAGAAATAAGCCAGAAATATGGATATCTTTCTAATTAAGATGCTTATGTAATGACTACACCGTTCAAAGAAAGTATTCTCCCTTGTTTGCACTAAACAATCTACAGTCGCATAGTAGGGAAGCCAGTTTTAATTGAAATCAGGCTCAGTAGTCAGGGATGTATAATAAATTTGTTTTCATTTAGTTTTGACCAGCCTTCACTCAGTTTGCACATGCTGGGCAGGACACAAGCTACAGTGAAAGTCAGTACATTGCTGAGCTTAAATGTGATATACAGATGACAAAAAAATTGAAATAAAAATAAAATAGGAAATGAGGGAAATGTTTAAGAAAATGTTGGAGTTTTCTTTAATGCACACAACATGTTTTAATCAATGGAAACTAATGACTACGTTGGAAACAGTTGTACAGTTGATTCATACTTTTGGGACAATACACAGAAACACACACATCAATGCTTATGGGGGGGTGGAGAAAAAGAAGCGGGGGAAGGTACAAGACATGAGAGAAATCCAGTATGGGACTGAGACCATGATGGATTCTCACAATTCCCTCCCTTCCCAATTCTGGGTCATTAGCCTGAAGTTGGCACTGAATCGCCAGTCAGGCCAATCTGTGGAATTGTTTGTCTAATGTGAACCACAATTTACACATAAAAAAGCTATTTTCTTAAATAAGACCCGTAAACCATCCAGTCTTGGCACGATTTGTGCGGAATCAGCTGATTTGCACCAATTACCAATTGGCTGATTTTTTGTTTCAAAATTGTACTGGACCCTCATAGTTTCTGAATGTTTATTTGTATGAATTTCACTGTTGTTTTTCAAATGCACAAGTCATGGTCCATCTCGCAGAGGTCTGTAAAGCTGCCACTTGGCTCACTTCGAATAACCAGATCAGAAGTGGGCAGGGAATCCAATGAATTCAAGTGAGCCTCAAGATGGAAAATGAACTTTGAGATCAAGTTCTCACAATTCACTTATCTCAGTAGATTCCCAAAGATATAGCAGCAAGGAAGGAAATAATGTGATGTGATATGGACAAATCTTCGTCGTTCAGCTTTTACTGCTACCCCCTGGATCCAGGAAACAGTTGCTAGGAAATAGAGAAAGCAACATGAAAAGTACTCTACTCTGGTGCTTCCTAGATTTCCGTTCCCATGATCCTTGATGACTGGCCATGCTCACTGGGCATATAGGTGCTGTAGTCCAAAATGTGTGGGAGACACTAGAATCCCCACTCCTGCTTGATCTGAAATCATAGCTACCCTAAATCTTCTCACAATGATTACTGTGTCAAACAAAGATCGGTTTGGAATTCCCATTGAAGCCATGAAGTGATAAATTGGTGAGATTATTCTTTCAACCCCTTTTCTACATGAATGGAAAGGTATTCTAAATAAAGTGGGAAAGGTATTCTAAATAAAGTGGGAACCCTGCTGAGTGGGTCTCTTGTTATCCTCCCTTTTAATACCAGTACTTCTAAAAGTGATGCAGATTTCAAGCAACAACCTAGGAAGCATAATTCCTTTTCACTTCTTTATAGAAGGGAATATTTATCCAAGAGAGCATCAACACAGACTTGTCCAACTCAGTGCCCTCCAGAGATACTGGACTAAATCTCCCATCATTCCCAGCCTGCATGGCTGAAGCACCCCATCTAAAAGACAAGACACCATTCCCTTTTCATTCGACAAGCTAACTGACAAACATTAGTTTAGTCCACACAAACAGCACTGATTCCATTAGCCAATTAAAGCTCATTTCATTAATCAACTTAGATTTCTTTAATAGGTTGCCACACTCCTTTATTCCCCCAGTACTAGCCTGCTGCTGTTTCTCTCCTTTTGCATTCCTGTATTTAAGATGCTTTGCAGTATACATATTATACAACTTTAATAGCCACAATTGCTAAATTTCTTCACACGAGTCTCTTTTTATGGAAATCACAATGGTTTGCAACAAATTCTGAACAAACACCTTGATCGACACCCTGAAGTTAGTATTCTAACAGACAACAAAAATCCACTGCCTCTATCTAACCTAGATTACGGGGTCATTCTATGGATAAAAGCATGTACTGTCCTGAATTCTTTTGGATTGTATACTTCTCTGAATTTTGTGATATCGTTTTCTTCTCAGAATAGCATACAAATATGTATATATTGAAGAAAATTACATAAAATTTGTTCATTTGGGGAAATTGCATATGAAACACACATGTGAACTTTTGTATAGCTTCCTCTAAAAAAAATAAAATGGACTGATGGGGAAATTGGATGGGACAGATTTATGAATACATGGTAAATTGACACAGACTGAAATGGGGGCTGCCAGTGGGGAGGTTGCTGGATCACAGCCAGCTGCCTGAAAGGTATTCTGTTTCTAAGCGGCATTTGTACGAACAGAAATTTGTGAACGCCGAGGAGCTGGTCCATTAACCCTCATTCACGTTCTCAAAGGGAAGAGGCACTATCCAGAATAATCTCTTTAAATGAAAGTAAAACAGACAGAAGAACACAGTCCAAGGAAACAGACACCTAATCACAAAACTCAAATGCACAATCCTGTTCGGGTTAAGGTTTTAGTTGGATGCACACACTGTCTGGTTACAGAAAGAGGTTTTTCACTCTACACATTGCTTTAACCCACATTGCAAACCAGCATATTTCCAGTTCCTTGTGTAATCCATGTGGGATAAAGATGTGTAATAAACAAGGACTGTTTTATATAGTGGAGAGTTTTGAACTTTGCCCTGGGTTCAAGTAGGTCGAAAATCAATCACTCACCCAACTTTGAAGTTGAAAGAGTTGTTCTGAACATGGGGGGGGGGGTGGATACAAATGGCTTAATCGACTGCTAGAATGAGAATGTGAAGGCACGGCATCTAAGCACCCCCTTCTTGGCCAGAAATGCCACCATCAAAACACCCTAAAACCCACCTAGACTGAGAAGAGCATGTAGGATTCTCTATTTCAGGTGCCAAAATAACTTGGCCTACCTTAAGTCTTATTTACCTGGTCTGTGGATGTGGGTGGGGACAAGCTGAACTGTTTCACGTCAGGCAAGCAAAACCAAACCTCTTGCGATTCAGAATCAGGCACAGATTGCATGCTGATTCCTAACCAAGGATACAGCATTGCTGCCACAACCCACTGCTGATGAACGTCAGT